GCACACGTTATAGACATTGATGCACAAACACGGCTATGTTCTACATGTCTACAGTATAAAGAATGAATAAACCAGTCTTATAAACTCCTTGATTTCGCTTAAGCAACTTTAAATATAATATGCATGCACAATAAACTATTGCAAAATGTATTTACATCACTCGACAGAAAGGTTTTTGCCTCTTTTAATAAAATGTAAATTAATAACAGTCATAATAAACAATCATATTTCCAATACGCGCATCAGGCTTGCACAGTATCGTCAACTCACTCATCAGAATCTTCGGTAATCCTCGGCAAACTTCGCCACGGCTCATTCGGTTCTTGTTGAGTCCTCGGTAATCCTCGGCAAACTTCGACAGTTGGTTGAACCGGCTCATTCGGTTCTTTTTGAGTTGGACGTGCTACTTCGGCTGTGCGTCCTGCGTCATCAACCCAGAACTAAAGTTCGATTCAGTTCGATTTGTGAACCGGCTCAACCGCTTACTTCCTGAGAACCGGCTCAAAAGAACGATTCGTTCAAGAACCTAACATCACTAGAGCACAGTACCTGTGACAACTACTTTTTAATATTTTTTTCTGTTTTTTTTTTTATTTTTAGTGTAGGTTTTAGTAATTTTGTTGTGCGTTTTCAGTAGTTTTTGTTTTAATATATATGGCTATTTTATTATTTTTTTTATTATTTTTTCACTTTATTTTTTATCTCAGTTTTAGTTTTAAGTTATTTTATTAAACCAAGTTACTAAATTAAAATAAATTATAATGAGGAATGTTGCATTGGCAGTTAGCTGAGATAAAATATGTTTTTTTACATTTTTAATTCAGTTAACATTTTATTTTATTAAGTTTTAGTTACCTATAATAACCCTGGTTCGTAAGCCTATGTATTTGCTATTTTCCAATTTATGCATAATTAAAATTATAGTTGCAGATAATTAGTTACATTCAATATGGTTTTGTCCTGCTGTCTGCGGCACACCAGTGGAAAAGCACAGATCTAGTACATCCACTCGGTATCCACCAGCGTGGTTGATATGAGGCCGGTAAATCACATTGGAAGCCTTTTAACCTCTCTGTGATCTGGACATTAAAGAAATATTTACAGTGTTTGAGCAATACATCTACTGTAAGAACCCTCACAGGGATTAAGAGCGCGCAAGCAGTATAACAATTCATTCTACAGATGAAGCTAAATGTCATCAATCATAATAGTTTATCCCTCATGTAAAACCAAGTACCACATCTCAGAAACAGAGGCGCTGCCAAATGGTTTCTACAGTAAATGCTTTCTGCACGTTGACACATTTGACAGACGGGTAAAACAAAACAACGGACAAACGAGGAGAAACTGAAACTTTTTTCAACAGGAAATCCTCTCACGGATATTAACTATAAATGGAATGAAATTAGCATTTGAGCAGGATATTAATAATGTTTCCAGAATCATGTCAGTGAGCTAATTGGATAAAACAAGCAGCCAATCATCATCAGCATACAACTGATGTGATTTAAACAGCCTATCAGGAGGCTGGAGGGATTCTTTTACAGATCTGACACTTGTTCTCCATCTACAAATATAATATATAAATCAACATGAAATGATATTCAAAAATTTTACTTCCATTACTTCCATTTTTCTTCCATAATCCATAAAGATATGTGTATTGGGAGGCATTTCATAGGTAGAGATTTTAATTAAAAACTAGAAAGTTTTTCTTTGGAATAACGTGCACCAATTCATCATATTTTAAGAAAGTAAACAGAGATTATTTCGTTTTTACTGTACACACACAACTTCTAGCCCTCTAGTTCACTTTTCTCTCTAACATATCAACTAGTGCGGTGTCTAAAGTGAGCTAGATTAGTATCTTATTTCACACAAATGACAAATCAAAGGGAGATGCGTCTCCTGCTAAAGTTAAAGCTGAGGTTAGCACCACTGTCACACTATCTTCACTTCCGAAAGGGCTTTGCTTCCTCTGACCTGAGGACAACGAATCAAACCGCAGATGTTTGAGATTGTGACAGGAAGATTAGTGATACCCCAAAGCCATGTTAAAGTCTCCGTTTAGAAACATGCTGAGGGTACGTTCTCAGACAAAGCGTGTGAAAGGATTTCGCCTGGATGACAGTGTGATCAGAAGGTAGTGTACAGTAAAATTTACTCTCATATTCTAGTCAAGCTTTTTTTGTCAAATGAATTAAAAAATAATGGAGATCTGTTGGAAGTTGTATTTTCAAGCTCTTGCTCATTCAACTCATTTTCTGCTCGCTAAACATTTATATAGAATATAGTGACATATTATAATGTGCTTCCTTCAATTTGGTCCTTAAAGTTTCTTTACTTAGTCCTAAAAAAGTCTTAAATTGACCTTCATAAAACCTGCAGAAACCCTGCTTTGCTTTAACTGAAAGGCAGGATTCCTTCCTTTCATTTTGGCCTGTCTTCTAGCATCTAAGCAGTGGGTACAAAGAATAAGATGGAGCAGAGGAAGATAAAATCACAGTGCCACCACAGCTATAGCCCTCTGATACAAATAAATTCATAAAATCCAGCTGCTGTAGAAGGCTTGATTTATTAGAGGCTCTCACGAAAACGAGAGGTTTTGAGGTTTCACATGAGCTATTCGTCTCCCGCATCAAAGAGTATAAAAGACCAAGAGGTGAAACTCTGATGCTTTTTGGATAACAGCCACTAGGTGCCGCTTCGGTAGCGCGGCCGCCATTTTGGGGTGAAAATTCCAACTGGACAACAGCACAGATATACAGAAATAGACAGAATAACAATGAAAGAGAGGTCAAAGTGGAATAAAAGAACGCAATGTTGGGCAATCCACTGCAAAAACTATCAGTGTGACAGTACAAATCTGGCCTTTCATCGTTTTCCCAAAGCCCCTGACAGGTAATTATTCACAAAAGTGTAAAATATTGTGTGTTTTGAAGTGGGGACGTAGCGCTGTCTTATGCACCTGCTAACTTTAACTGTTTTTAGTCTAGTAGTAAACTTAAATCCTTGTAGGAACTGCAGGTCCTAGCCATAGAAACCATAATAATGATTTATATGGCTAAGTAATGAGCTTATGCAACTTTACACATTTACAATTACTTACTATATTATTATTTACTATTACTCCACTAGGTCTGAAATATATATTGTACGTTTATCCCTGGAATACACTACAAACATGATGATCTAGATTAGAACATGATGCATTGCTGTGTCTCTGTCATAATTAAATAATTAAACAATTTTGGAGAAAGTGGCTGTTTACAGTCTTCCTTTAACAGACATTAATATAAGACAATACTGCAAAAACAGTTTACTGTTAAGCTGTTATATTCCTGTTATATATTTATTGTCCAACATTCCTAATTTTTCTGTCATTAATTTAACTTCATATGTTGGTATTAATTCAGTGTTAATAATGCTAACACTTGAACTTAAAATATTTTCAACCGAAACTGACAGGTTTCTAGAGAGCAAAAGGTTTTGTGAAAAAGAGGGAAGACTTTAAAATAAAATCTGTAAAATAAACTGTTAAAAGGATTTGATGATCACTAGTCTAGTGATTGTACGATATTGTCATAGTTCAGGCTGTATTTCAGCTTTAATGTGCAGTTTTTTTAAACAAAGCAGTTTATATTTGCCATAGCGGCAGCTAGAAGCTAGTGGACTGCCGAGTCGCTTTCACCCCAAAATGGCGGAAGCGCAGGGCTGTTGCTGGGCGCCGCTGTTGCAATGGAACGTTCTACTGAGTTTCGCCTCTTGGTCTTCTATACTATTTGATGATATTACATTGTCTCTTTTACAGTTCACGATACTTTCAAAGTAAAATGTTCAGTGAGTGGTGCTGAACTGTTCTGAGCGTGTTCTCAACAACACAGCTCAGGAGGACGCGCTCAGGACAGTTCGAACAGTTCGGACATTGCGTGAATCAGATGTAAAAAACAATATAAATACTGTTCAGTTTCTTGCACAGACCAATCTATTTGTGTCTTTACACATCAATGTATCGTCACGAGCCGCAGAGTTTAATTTGGTTTTGTTTGTGTATGTTTTTTTTTTGTTTTATTGTATGTTTTAGCTGTGATTCCCATTCACCTCCATTATAAGACTGACAGACTGCAACGGTTTGTGTTAAAAATCTTCGTTTGTGTTCTACTGAAGAAACAAAGTCACCTACATCTTGGATGCCCTGGGGGTAAGCAGATAAACATCAAATTTTCATTTTTGGGTGAACTATCCCTTTAAAAATAAAGTTTCCAAAAGGATGTTTTTGAAGAATAATTTTTGGTTCCCTAAAGAACCTTTCTGTGAAACATTCTTAAAGGGGTCATATGATGCGATTTAAATTTGTCCTTTCTCTTTGGAGTGTTACAAGCTCTTGGTGCATAAAGAAGATCTGTAAAGTTGCAAAGACTAAAGGCTCAAATCCAAAGAGATATTCTTTATAAAAGTTAGGAGTCAACCACGCCTACCTAAAACGGTTCGTTCTAACACGCCCTCATGTCTACGTCACGATGTGGGAAGATTTGCATAACGCTGCCCAAATGTTCACGCAAATCGGCTTTTACCATGGACGAAGCGGAGTCCAGCCCGGGGTCGTCACATTTGGTTGCCGCAAGCCCGTCGGACGCTCCTTCGTCGAATCCGCCGGCCACTCTAGGCCTCCAGCCTCCGCTCACTCAAGGCCGCAGTGTTTGACGCTGTTTTGTTGTGAAAGCAAAACTACTTTGTTTGGTCTTCCAAAAGAGGACACGATCACTTGTTGTTAGTCATTTCTCCGATCACAAATGCAGACATGGTTTTATGTTTACGCGGCGCGATGCAACGCAACACGTAAAAAGACAGTATAAGTCATTATAATCCATAATTATGTCCCCACTGGATGCAAGAAAAGCCTCGTTTATAATGGGTTTTAATATTTTTGTCTCGTCGCTCTGGCCGGACAGGGCATCACAATATGGTGAGGTCATGTGACATAAAACCCAGATTCTTACCTGGCAAAGAAGGATGCAGCAGCGGAGGTGCCACTGGAGGGCGCTGTGGTGACCGTGGCAGGAGGCGGAGCAGCAGGGCTGCTGTATGCACTGGGTCGAACGGTGTTATAGCGGTTGAGCGCAGCTTCATTAAGACCCTCCCGGTTGCCTTCTGACACCATCTGAGAAATCTGTATGCAAGTAAACATGGGTATTAAAAACAAATCTGCAAAACGGCCAACTAAATAAGAGCAAATTACTCTATTTACAGATAAACAAATGCAGTATAACTCAGGTAAATGCTCTCAGTTTGGTATTTTATGTCCCCCATGACACCTATTTTCCCTGATATGCATGGGAAAAGGGGTGAAAACTCATTCTATTTGTGTTTGAACTACAGCAGCGTCCCGAGTCACGCAGTGGTGGAGAATAAGTTTAGCACAGATTCTGCCAGGCCTTCAGATAAACAACTCAGCTTAGACGTGAGTCATGAGACACAGCCCTGATAATTGCGCTGTGAAGGGCCCACGGCACGGCTGGCTTTCTTAAACAAGCATTCAGCCAGACCCACTCAGGGAGATTTGGAAATAATCCGGACACCCTCCCCTGCCCCGGCTGTAAATAGATGGTGAGGGCACTGCTGTTGCTGTGGGCTGGGGTCTGTCGTTTCGCCCCAAATAAGGACACACGAGTCCCTGAGGAGGATGAGCTGTGCTGTACAGTGAACCAGCCGCCCTCTGTGTGTTTACCCAGAATGCTTCACAAATGTAGGAAAGTATCACCCAGATAAGCTTGGATGGACAGTGAGAGAATCCAGATCTGTGCATTTGTTGATAAAAATGTCATTGTCAAAGCATTGGACATACATGCATCACAAGGCAATTTGGTCATGTATGTGTGTGTGTGTGTGTGTGTGTATATATATATATATATTTGGATGGACAGTGAGAGAATCCAGATCTGTGCATTTGTTGATAAAAATGTCCAGCATTGGACATACATGCATCACAAGGCAATTTGGTCATGTATGTGTGTGTGTGTGTATATATATATATATATATATATATATCTATATATATATATATACACGTATATATATGTATGTATACACAAGTAATACATTACAAAACTATTAATATAATGTTGAATCTAACAAGTTTTGTAACAAATTTTTAAGACTGATTTTAATGTGATCTTAATAAAAATGACTAATTATACATGAATACTAAAACAACAAAAATGAAATGTAAAATTTTAATAAATATGAACCCCTCCAACATAAAAGTGGCAGAATTTGAAGAAACAGCCAATTGTGATTTGTCTCTGCACAACATATCTCATCAAATTAAAGACGCTTTGCCACATTGCATCTGCAAACAGGCCGACCAGTACCAACAGTGACTTTCACACCTCGGAGAATTTAACCTGAGTTTAACCTGAGCTGTTCACAGCCACAGGCTCATGGTGTCTTCACAGCCTCGCATGTGTTATTTCAGTCTGGCTGCAGGTATGATGGCAAAACGCACAGCTGTTTAAAAATACTCCGTGATAGCACATGACTGACAGGTATATTTAGCAGCGTCTGCAATCACTACAGTTCCTTAACACTGCATTGGTCTGGGCAGACATCCATGTGACAGTAGGTGTGTTCGCATTTGACAACTGTTGGAGTTAAACGTCTGAAATGAATTGTCACGGGAATAACCACAAACCATTAATAAACCTGATAATGTGCAGTTAATAATGAACACAATATTGATCATTTGCCAACAAATAATCAGTTTTATATAACAGTGGTCATCATAAACAATATTATCCTACTACATAGTGAAGAACGGGTCAGTCTAGAAGGCTTAGTACAGAGGGCAATATGAGAAATATTAAAAAGCTTTTATACCTTATTAATGAATGGATTAAGCTTCTACATAAAGCTAAATCCTGCTCATTCGGTACACACTTGTCAAGCGATGATCTGATGACATAATAGTCATTATCTAATTCTGATCACGCAAATCTCCCACCCCAAGCCAAGCCAGAACAATTATGGAAACTAAGCCGCAAAAATGGGTGTTTTGAAGCCAGATTCATGAGCAAATTAACATATATAAGCCTATTAAGTGTTCAGAAACCATCAATCGTAACGGATAATTTAGAAGTCTTAAAGAAACAGTTCACTCAAAAATGAAAATGTGCTGAAAATGTATTCACCCTCAGGCCATCCAAGATGTAAATGAGTTTGTTTCTTCATCAGAAGATTTGAAGAAATTTAGCCTTACATCATTCGCTCACCAATGGATCCTCTGCAGTGAATGGGTGCCATCAGAATGAGAGTCCAAAGGTAGCCAGAAGTCATATGATAAATTTGTTTCTTACAAACACGCAGATTTTCACTTCACAAGACGTTAAATGATGGACTGGACTGGTGTGGATTACTTGTGAATTATTGTGATGTTTTTATCAGCTATTTGGACTCTCATTCTGACGGCACCCATCCACTGGTAAGCAAGTGATGGAAAAAAATGTCTCCAAATCTGTTCTGATGAAGAAGCTCATCTACATCTTGAATGGCCTTAGGGTGAGTATTTCAGCAAATTTTCATTTTTGGGTGAACTATTCCTTGAAAGTTACAGTAAGAAAAACAGCCCGTTTAATTCTCAAAAAAATCTCATAAACCAAATAATGCAATAAAAGTGTACAAATATGGACTTTATGAAAAAACTTCAATGAATCTTCAGTGAATTTTTATTTTCATTGAGCTAAATGGCAATTCTATCCTCATGGCAGCATCGAAACGACTCAGCCCTGCTCACAGCCAGTCAGATCATTTGGGAACCTATGGCTGATTTGCCATCTGTTGTGCAGGAATGAGAAGAAGGAGCATTAAATACCAGCAGTGCCAAGAGCACAGATTGCACCTCTCAGCCCATCCTCCCATCATCTCTCCATCCATTCTCCTGCCTCACTTACTTCTCCTCTCTCTCCTCTGTCTGATAGTAGCCTTTTGTTTGCCCAAATGTAATGCCCCATCCATCTATCCATCCATGTTCAACTGTTTGACATTGACTTTGACCTTCATACTCTTTTTGCTGGTCTATATGGCTTTGTAAAGCCAAATTAAAAGTCTTAGCTTTGCTGATATCAGCCAGATAAAGGTTATTCGAAGATCAACAGATAGCTGGCTACATTGTAAGTCTTCTGTCCAAGTTCTCCAGTTACAAATAATGCACTGTAAAAGTTTTCTTAGAGTTTTTTTTTTTTTATATGAACAAAAATAATATGTTTACTCTATCCCATATTTTTAAGTTATAAATTTAGCGCCTTGTATTCTTAAAAATGTATTAAAAAATGTTTTTTTTTTCAAACTTACAACTGGTTAGTAATTAATAAACAAATAAAAAAAGAAAAGAAAAGAAACGGATCAGTTTAGGAACAATGCATGTTAAAATATGTTATTAAATGATAAAATATATATATATTAATCTAATCGCCTTTGAAAAATAAATACTAATCTAATTTTATTGTCATCTATAGTAATTGACACTATCCATATTTTTATGGAATTATACAGCAGATTGTTCATATCCATGCAAAGAAATGTCTAACGCTAATCAAGAGATGCAGATTATCAATAGACGATATTGTATTTTATGAACTTTAAATCTTGAGAAGATAAATGTGATATATAATGTCTTAGTATGTTATAAAATTGCTAATACTAAAGAGAGGAATCTCAATATTGCAGAAAATATCACTCTAGTGATTTATTCAAGCATATTAGAATGCCCTGAGCACAATTATAGCAACTTCACCGCAGATGACGGATTGCCAAGTACGCCCCTGTGCATGTGTGAAATCAATATCCAGTTCTTGTAATTTTATGGATGTCTCATTTCATGTGTTTCAACAGCAGGCCGGCCACCCCGTGTGACTACACGGGCTCCAGGTTTGCATGAGACCGGGGCCAAGTGTAGGTGTGATGGATGAGGAAGGTAGAGAACATTTGTAAGAACGGAAATTTCCTGATGCAGCAGAAATACCCAAGAGAGGAATGGAAGGATCGAAAAAGAAGCCCTTAAGTGGAGGTTTCTTTCCACCCCGTTCCCCAGCGGCCCCCTGCACACCCACAAGAAGAGACTTCCTCATTCATCATAATTAAAGCCGGAACCCACTGCACTGCCTGGATATTCCTTTCCTGGATATGTTAACTATTCTTTACCATCCCTTGAGCACTCTCTATATCTGTCTGTGACAGTTCACATTCACTTCTCAATTCAGATGGGATGGAAAACTGGACTTACAGTCCTGGATAGGAATAGCACACTGGAGATGGGCTGCAGAAAGAAATAAAACCATGGGATATGCTAAAAAGGGATGACACATGTTTTTCACTGAGGTACAGTATAAAAAGTACAGTAAGTATCTTAGTACAGTAGTTAGTGTGAATATGAAAAACGTAAATTTGAATGGCCACATTCCACAGGAATCTAAATATGAGTTTGAATGGAGGAAAATGAATTTACTAAATTGCAACTCAAAGAAATTCAACTCAGCAAATTCATAATCCATCTATTGATTGATTGATTGATTGATTCATTCATTCATTCATTCATCAGTCAATCGATAGATGGATTTTGACCAACCTACTGACTGTCCGTCCATCCATACATCCATACATCCATCTGTCTTTCTATTTGCCTATCCATCAGCTCACCCATTTTTGTATCCATCTGTCCATCCATCCATCCATCCAATAATCCTTCTGTTCCTCAATACATCCTTCCATCTTTCTATTCATTTATTCACCCATTTATCTATCAATCTGTCTATCTGTCCATCCATCCATCTTTCGATCTATCCATCGTCCATCTTTCTATTCATCTATTCATCCATCAAATCTGCCCATCCATCCTTCCGTCTGTTTTTCTATTCATCTATCCTTCCATCCATCGTCCATCTTTCTATTTATCTATTCACCCATCAATCAATCAATCTATCTGCCCATCCATCCATCCATCAGTCAATCAATTAATCCATCCATCTTTCTATTCGTCTATTCATCTGTCTATCCATCAATTAAATGATCACTTTTTTTACATTTTCAAACAAGGCTTTGCCAAGTCAACCTTTACATTTTTCTAGTTAAAAATTATTCATACAAATTTATTTGAAATTCCATTCATTTTTATTCTACATACTTATAGAAATTCAAATTGCAATTCTGTATCATGTTTGCTACAGTGTAAAAAAATCTGTAATATTTACAGTAAAAACTGGCAGCTGTGGTTGCCAGAACTTTACCATTAAAAAAACTATGGCATCAACATTTTAGGTTTTACAGGCTTAAAGGGGTCATATGATGTTGCTAAAAAGAACATTATTTTGTGTATTTGGTGTAATGAAATGTGTTTATGCGGTTTAAGGTTAAAAAACACATTATTTTCCACATACTGTACATTATTGTTTCTCCTCTATGCCCCGCCTTTCTGAAACATGTCGATTTTTATAAAGCTCATCGGTCTGAAAAGAGAGGTGTGCTCTGATTGGCCAGCTATCCAGTATGTTGTGATTGGCCGAATACCTCAAGCGAGTGACGGAAATGTTACGCCCCTAACCATACTGTGATGGCGTCTCCCGGAGCGACATGACAAACAACAAGCGCTACTCTACACTGCTCAAAACTCATGTTTGAATTATCAGTGGCAAATCCTTTAAATACAAAAAACTTACTTACAGTCTGTGAGTCAGAACAGCCGGCATTGTAGTTACTCTCCCAGGATCAGGAAACAGTCCTCCATAAAATGCTCTGGATACATCTGCATATTTGGGTTAAACTGTTCTGGAACAGTGTTGTAAATACAACTTAACCACTGATTT